ATCCCCTGCCCCACCAGCCCAAAATTTGAGGTTTATTTTAAGAGTTTGACCTGCAAGAATTGAGCCCCACCCCAACCCATCCTCATTTCTTGAAAAGGGTGTTCAGCGCTTTTTTTCCCCCCTTTTGAAATTCTCACTAAAAAAAAAGTCCAAATATGGATTTGTTTTTATTTGGATGAGATGAAAGTGACAGTTTTGGCAAGACGGGGATGGCGGTTCCCTGTAAGGATGGACAGATCCAGGTTAGAGACTTAATACTTCGGGCTCTCCAGAGGTACCTGAGAACCAAAGAAAAGGTAAGGGATGATTTTGGCTGCAACACAGTAGTTGAGTCACCTGGTGCAGCGCCTATGTGCAAGGTGATTGTGTGCATCTTTTCAGTGGTGTATATACATGTTTTGAAGGGGAACATATTGCAAGTCACTGAGTGGCCTTTTTATGTAGATGAGAGACGGCAGACAGCTGTCAAAAATGACATTGCAGCGTAAACTGAGAGATATGATTGGGATGTTTATAACCCACAGATTGATGTGTTCCAGATGTCTCTAGGAAGTGTTGCCCAACCAGTTTTGACAAGATAAAGGGCTGGAGATTACATTTACAGTATCTCTTTGAACAAAATTGCCAAATATTTTTATATGGATTTTTAAAATTCCGAGTTTGATTTACAGCCCTATTTAGCTAACCTCCTATATTAATCTAAATGTACTAGTAGGGTGAGTTGTGCCAGAAAATTCAAAGTTGATAGAGATATTTTCTTCACTAAGCACAGGAAATGTCAGAGTTAAGAACCACATGAAAGATAAAAGGCTGGCATTGCTTCAGTCATGTGTCACTTTCCTCAGCATCCTCAAGGACCACAGCTAAAAAAGAATTAGAGTTGATTAGGCCATTCCACTGGTTGGCCTCTTCATTCTGGTCCGCTGTTCATGGATAGAAAATATTTGATAAAAGCAAAGAAAATTGCAAGTGAGGACGCCAATCAAACAACAATATGGAAATATCTTCAATAACTGTTTGTCAGGTATTTAATATTAAAAATCTTCCTTTAAACATCTAGTTGTCTGTTCCTCTTTTACTGTTCTTATTGCAGTATTTAATGTGAGAATTATTAAACTACCTTTCGGTATATCTTTTGGTATAGTTAAAATGGTCATTAGGACATAGAACCTGTTGTTAATTAATTTGAATCCCACCACTGTGTAAAAGCAGTAGCGTATCTCTACTCTTACAGAACATGGAGTCACCTGAAGGATATGTGTCCCCACAATGCCACCCTGCCACCATCTTGGGGGGGGGGACGTAAATGTATACCATAGATTGGGTGATTCAGGCATACAAGCATGGGTGGCCTTCTGAGGCAGCCTCAGGGATGACCAACCTTGATTCATGAGACTCTTCCCAAATTTTGAGCTGGCCATGGCAAGGTTGACCATATGCTCTAGTGCAGGGGACTTGCCTAGCCTAAACTGGAGAGGGGCCTGGTCGGTACACCTCCCCCTGTTCTTAGTTTTGCTGCACTACCATAAGCACCATCTAATATCAGGGATTTAAATAGTCAAGGAAGTTGTGGCCCAGGTTTGAACTCAACTCTTGTGTCTGCTTCTTTATTTACTGTTAGGGGCAGAAATTTGGACTTCTGATAGTGGAGTTGGAGCAATCCCAAGTTTACAAGATTGCATCAGGTGTGTTAGTGTGTACATATATAGTTATTGGTCATTGTGCATGCACCAGATATTCACAGTTGTGGAAATAATTTGCCTGATAGCACGAATGAAACAGCACACTCCCCATGAAAGTCAGACACTTTTAGAAAAGAAATGGCCTTCAAGAAGATATTTCTGTGGTGCATCAGTGTCCTCTTACCATTACTTGCCACAGCTGAAGGTAAGAAACACCGCCTGTTAAATTTTTAAAAATCTTTTTTTTGGGGGGGGATAGATTATCTGTGTTGTATATTTTGGTCCTAAATCAATTGCAGATGGGTCACATTGAAGTCAATGTGAAAAGTTAATCACATTTAACTGACCACCCAGCTATATAAAGCTAAAAATAAGGCTTATTCCTAGATAAATGGTTTCACATTTATTGCCTAATTTAGCTGTAAGGTTGTTCCTTAACAATGTTCAGCTCAATTAGACAATAATTCTAAACCATTTGTTGGGGAACAAGCCTTTGAAATCAAAAGAACTAATTTTTAAATAGGTATTAGTAGTTGTTGTGGGCTCTTTGGCCATGTTCTGAAGGTTGTTCTTCCTGATGTTTCACCAATCTCTGTGGCCAGCATCTTCAGAGGACTGGAGTAGGAACTCTGTCCATGCTCTGTTGCTGTTTGTTGGATAGTTGAGTATTTATAGATGTGAGAACAGCTATTGTCCTTTTCAGGAGATATGGTGATGATGGTGATCAGCATGTTTTTGTTGTGGATATATTGTTGTGATAAGGGGGAGAGATTATCTGTCACTGTGATTGATGGGTGTCTTTAGCTGGTACAGTCAATGTAACAACAGAGAGGAGTGGGATCCTTTGACTACTTACTGGTTAGGGAGTAGACAGTGTCTGCTAGTAATAACCCAACTTCCTCTCTTTGATGTAGCAGCCTTTAGTGTCTCACGGGGAAGGAGAAAAGAGAAGATTCTGACATAGGACATACTAGTGACAGGCTCAGAGAACCACTATGGTTTGAGATCCCCATTCTCTCCCTCTCTCCCATTTTTTCTAATCCACCCATTTGTCTCTGCTCTTCAGGGCTATCTACAAATTCTCATGGACCATGCGTCTTCCCCTTCATCTACAATGGAAAGTCCTACTCATCGTGCACAACAGCTGGGACAGTAGGTGGAAAGCTTTGGTGCTCCCTCACTAGCAACTATGATGTAGATCCCAGATGGACTTACTGTGACCCCTCAGGTAAGAAAACACACATAGTCTGTGGCCTCCTAACATTTCCCATTCTTAGCTCTTGTGATGTGTGTCAAACGAGAAGAATGCAAGTTGGAGCAGTAAAATTATCCAGGTGGTAATTTTGGTAATTAAAGACTAGAGATGGGGATATTCGTATTTGTATACAAATACGAATATCCCCAATGCAGCTGGACCTAACAAAGGTCTGGCCCCTAGGACCAGACCGTCCATTCACACATCCTGTTGCATCGCTGGTCCCACCCATCTTGCCAATGGCAACCCGAATTCCGTTCTCTCCCACTCAACTGGCCATGCAGCAGGCATGTGGGGAGACTCATCCTCCCACCCCTTGCCCGGAGTGGCTAGCTCAGTGGGAAGAGATCAGAGCTCTGGGTGCCATTGGCAGAATAAACGAGACCAGTGCTGTGGGAAGACACGTGAGTAGATGGTCAGTCCCGGGAGCCAGGCCCTCATTAGGACCAGCTTTGATGGGAATATTTGTATTTTTATATAAATATGAATACCTCCATCTCTATTAAAGACCCCACCCACCCCGCATGGGGGAGGAATCTGGATTTTTTAAAAAAGTCCTGTGTAGAATTACCCCTTCACAGATTGCTGCCTTGTTG